TGACAAACAGCAGAGTGCACGCATCAAACAGGTGTTCGAGAAGAAGAACCAAAAGTCGGCTCAGACTATCCAGCAGCTGCAGAGGAAGCTTGAGCACTACCACCGGAAGCTTCGAGAGGTGGAGCACAACGGCATCCCTCGCCAGCCCAAAGACGTTTTCCGAGACATGCATCAGGGCCTGAAGGACGTCGGAGCCAAGGTCTGTGTTTTTTTGTTTTTGTTTTTTTTAAGCGTCATTTAAAGTTTTAGGTAATTTTTTTTCATAGCTCTCCAAAGCTTTGAAATCATCCTGTCCAAGTCGTTCTCCTGTAGTGCACTTATGCCTTAAAAAAGTGCCCTGACAACAGAACACTAAAATTCATATTATCTCAACCAAATAAGACAAACCTCCGCATTCTGCTCTCTTGCAAGGTGCTGTGGCATTTACCTGAAATACATCACTGCATGTAAATACTGCATACTTACTGCACATACTGCCAGTCGTTGTTCTCACTGTTGACTTTCTTGAAAAGCAGAACTCTGTTGAATAACTAGTAAAATATGTGACTCGATGTAGAGGAGTACGGTGGTAGTGGTTACCGTTTACCTTCCATACTAATTATTTATATTAAACCTTTGCGAATTTTCTCAGAGCAGCTCCCAGGTCACACGGAGGACAATGTTGACATTGGGATGTTAAGACTGAAATGCATAAACATGAATAACAGACTAGTTATTTTTCTGGTGGCATCAATCCTCAAGTTCTCCATCTGATAGTGTTGCAGTAACATATTTGTCGCCTTTTTCCTTCAGTTTACTTGATAACAAACATCATACAATCTTAACCTGTGGCTTCACCGAACATGTGGACCATTTGCTGAGTGTCTGCTGCAGCACTTCACCTGGTTTAGCTGTTTTTGATGATGCCATTGGAAGTGTTAGTGCAGTTGTACAAATCAGCCACGTAGATTAGAGGTGCAGAAGTAAAAAAATAGACTAGTCTTCAGTTTTTTAACATTTTTTTTTTTATTATTAAATTGTTGTGGGGAGTCTGCATTCTCCCTGTGGTCGTGTGAGGTTCCTTGGTTACAGCCAATTAATGGGTTAATGGGTAATTCAAAATACGTCCACAGATTTATCTGTGATTATCTGGACTGCTGAACTGTTCAGGTGTACTCTATCTTCTAACCAGTGTCAGTTAGGTTTATCACCTCTCACCTCAACTTGAAAACATACCAGTAAAAGTTCAAAATGTTGTTTAATTTGTGATTGACCCAGTCATGCACAGATCTGCAGATGTGCCAATTAAAAGTGTGTGCGCTCTGCAAACTGTCTCGATACACTTGGTGTTTAATGTAGCCAGAGCTTTTTTACAGTATATCACAAAAGCATTCTTGAGTATTGACTTAATCCTGTTTCACTACAGGTAACAGGAGGCCTCTCCAGCTTCTCTCAAGCAACTCATTCTGCAGCTGGAGCCGTGGTGTCCAAGCCGAAAGAAATAGCTAACATCATCCGTAACAAGTTTGGCAGCGCTGATAACATCGCAGCTCTGAAGGACTCTCTCGATGAAACCCAAGGAGATGAGGGCATTGGTCCTGGGGGAGCAAGGGCACTTGGAACAGGGGCCTTACCATCCAGCCCAAAGTATCCCAGTGATGATGACTGCTCTAGTGCTACTTCTGGTTCTGCAGGAGCAAACAGCACCCCTGGTGCCCCAGGAGGCCCCCCCAGCTCTAAGGGCAACACGCTTGATCATGCACAAGCCTCAGGCTTTGATGCTATACTCCACGAGATCCAAGAGCTTCGGGAAAACCAAGGTCGACTCGAGGAGTCCTTTGAAAATTTAAAAGCCCACTATCAGCGGGACTACACTATGATCATGGAAGGGCTGCAAGAGGAACGATACAGGTAGATTTGTCATGTGCTCTGCAGTATAGTTTGTTTATGTAGGACTTGTACCGTTTTGTGAAATGTGCTGCTTTGCAGGTGTGAACGTTTAGAAGAGCAACTGAATGACTTGACAGAACTGCACCAGAATGAAATTTTGAACTTGAAACAAGAACTGGCGAGCATGGAGGAGAAGATCGCCTATCAGTCTTATGAACGAGCGAGAGACATACAGGTAAGCCTCGCTTGGATGAACAGAACACGTGTGCTTCCTTATTAGAGCTCTGTCACCAACTCTTTTGTCTCTCACTTGCAGGAGGCGCTGGAGGCTTGTCAGACACGCATTTCCAAAATGGAGCTGCAGCAGCAGCAACAGCAGGTGGTGCAGCTGGAGGGTTTGGAGAATGCCACAGCGCGGACTCTTCTTGGAAAACTAATCAATGTGCTGCTAGCTGTGATGGCAGTCCTTTTGGTGTTTGTGTCCACAGTGGCTAACTGCGTCGTGCCCCTGATGAAAACCCGCAGCCGCACGCTTTCTACGTTGCTCCTCGTAATTCTCCTCGCCATCCTCTGGAGGCACTGGGATGCCATTTCAGAGTATATGCATCGCTTTCTTCTGCACCCCAGATGACCGGCCTGGAGAAGGTGCATTTAAGTAATTTAAACATGAAGGGACCGGAGGTGTGAAAGCGATAATAAAGGAATGACACTGGCCCATGTGGGAAGATGAATCTCAGCAGTCCTTTTTCCAGCAGCTTCTCAAAACACTCAGGAGGATTACAAAGCTGTCTGTCACTTTACTGCTCTATGAAATACGTTTCGAGGAGAATAAAAGTGGATACGGAGAGAAAAGGCTGGATGTTTGATATGGACTTTCTATATCTGGTGCAATTGTGGCACGAGTATACTGTAAAAGGGTGAACGGGGCATAGTTGAAGGAGCGGGCTGAGAGAGCTGCACACTTGATTTCTCTCTTCTGAGTGAATTTGTTTACATGTGGGAAAACTTTTCATTGTTTCCCCACAGAAGAAAATATTATTCAGAGTTTTATTACTTTTCAACTGATTCAAGTGGTATTGTTTTGAAGTTACTGCTATTTTTAATACAGCCGATTGATGGATTTTTATGTTCTTTTTAACTGTAATGAGCCTACAGTGTTCTGCAGTCATAGTCGCCCACGCTCTCTTTTTTTGTACTTTTTTTTTTTTTCTGGTCTTGTGATTCAATTTTTTTTCCCGTCTGCTTTTTTTCCCTCTTTGCTCTATCTTTTCAGATTTCAGCTTTTATGACCAACACTTCTTCTCTCTGCTCACTACACTCTAAAGAACGGGGTGCTTGCACATCAGCTACATTGCTCTGGGTCAGACACATGTGGGTTCTTGTTTCTTACTGGATGTGTGAAGTCAGTAACACTGGTAACGGCACAGCCAGAATATTACTATTATGAAATTTTGTGCTTGGAGTTGCAATCATGCAAACTGGACCCTACTATCCTGGTGGTTTGTCCACTGCAGAGGAATCATCTATGAACTCATTTAACATACTTGAAGAGCGGTTAAAGTGCTCAAAGACTCAGTGCTTCCGTACTGTTTCTATTAGTGACAATGAAATAGTAATACTTTTAGTTGGGGTTATTTTTGTTTTTTATTTTTTAATTAAAGATAAATAAATTTGCTGTTTAAAAACTGAACTTGAAAGTCTAACTTCTCTTCATCCTCGGTTGTTTATAAAAATCTGTTTTATGGTGTCACACACATTGAACATCAAAGAGGGTTATAGTCAAAATAATACTGAGGTAAAAAACACAAAAAAACCTTTTGCTCGCTGGCATGATCAACAAACTGGTTTCAGGTGATTTGACCTTTTTAACATGAGAAGATGGGCATGGTCAGCAACATTACTCAGGTAGGCTGTGGTGTTTAAACAGTGATCAGCCTGCACTAAGGGGGCCGTCAGTCAAACTCTGTTTACATCGTGGGCCACATAAAGCCGTGTTTGACCCTCTGTAGGCTGGACCGGTGAAATTCTCCTTCTGCCAGTGTAAAGAAGTGTAACCACACATGGAATGATTCACATATCTTAAAAAATGCAGTTAAAAGTCCAAAATCTATGCCTTTCTTCACATTTTACAAAGTGGGCCAGTAGGCCAGATTAGAGCCTCTGATGTGTCCCCGGCCCATTTGACACCCCTGCCACACCACTACACCATCCCCACCCAGACCCGTAGATACGAAGCAGAATAGAGCCATGCTTTCATGTTGCTTAAGACCAATTCTGACCTGATAATCTGAGTGTTGCAGCAGAAGTTGAGACTCATCAGACCCAGCAACATTTTTAAATCTTCTATTGTCACATTTTGTGTGGAGTTGTAGCCTCAGTTTCTAGTTTCCTCACTGGTGTGGTCTGCTGCTGCTGTAGTTTGGAAAAATCCCAGCAGATCAGCAGTATCTGAAATAATTCTGGCACCTGCAATCATGCTACGTTCAAAGTCAGTTTGAGCTTCAGCAGCTCCTATGGAGCCTGTCTACATGCCTAAATGCACTGAGGTGCTGCCGTGTGATTGGCTAAGATATTTGCAATGAAGATCATATCAACAATTATATGTTAATCTTTCTCATCGTCTCATAAAAGGGTCGAGAGTGTACAGAAAAACAAAAAACATCAAAGCCAACAGATGCTCCACACAATCCATTAAATCTGCTGTCGTTTTAAAAACTTATTTTTTCTCTTTTTCCCCCGCGGATGAAGGTGAAATTGAGCTGGGAACTGCCTCCTTCTTCAGACCTTTAGCTACACCCAGCAAAACAACTTCGGACTTTTATTGAACTACTAAGAAAACTTACTGAACCTGAAACACCGGATAGCAGATCGTTTACGACATTCACGAACCCGAATCAGCATGAACGTTTCTGTTTCTGACAGTTTTACATGTTGTTAAGCAACATGAACGTTGGGCACCGACGTCGTTTTACTGTTTACAACATTTATCGCTTCGATTCCGCTAAACTTTAACACATGCAAAGCAGTTGGATTTTTTAAAAAGGTGACAAATGTGTCTCAACATATCAACGCCTGAGAGGTCACTGACACCCGACTACGACTCCACGATGTCACTTGAAGCCAGGTGAGCATGAAGCGACCAATATAACCAGGAAGAACTGCACAGTCATCAAAAATGATGTTCTTACTACATTCAAGTGTGAGGTAGGGATCTTTATCCCCGTGTACTGTGTGTTAGGTGTAAGTCTGCAGGCCACACACACGGGGTACGGCAGCAGCAGCCGGGACGAAAGCTCCCGGTGAGAGGCGGGCAGATAATACCGATACCAACGCTGGTAACTAGGGTCACAGCAAATATTTACTCAGCCAATCACATGGCAGCAAATTTAACAACGTAAGCATGTTGACATGTTCAAGTCGTGCTCCTGAAGTTCAAACAGTGCATCAGAATGGAGAAGAAAGTTTATTTAGGAACTTGAGATTCCCATCATAAACATACAGCTGAAACTGCTCAGAGTTTTTGGTCCATGTTGACATGATAGCCTCACACAATGTTTCCAACACTGTGCTGAATCTATGCCATGAAGAATTTAGCCCAAAGTGGTCCAACCTATTACTAGTAAGGTGTACCTAATGAAATGTCTGGTGATTGCATATTAACATTTACAACTGTTGGATGTTTCATGCACTCTAGAAATGACATTTAATACAACATTTACTCATGCCCTGGCGTGATGCTGATCGACTGTGATGATGGTTTGGAGTTCTGGGTGAATTTTTATTCTCTCAGTCATTTTTGTAATAGGTTAGTTCCCATTTTATCAGCACAACTTAACAGTGACATAATGGACTTTTTAAATAAAGCATACTATTCACAGTAGATTATAAGCAGACACCAAACTAAAATGAGTGTTTATAAATCGTTTTAAATGAATTTAAATGAATTTTTGTCCTAATGCAAAAAAAACCCCCATTGAATTTAAAGACTTCACAGATTAATTTAATCTCACTTTTTTTTCTTTTTTAAAGAAATTGTTTTATTATTTTAAACAGCAGTAAAAGACAGATTTTATCAGTAAGGACACACTGCTCATTGCTTTTTACTGTAAGTGGAAAAAGCATGCTTATATATGTAGTCACCCCACAGAGGCCCACTTTGAGGCAGACCAATTTTCAGGTTACAGCCGTCATCTGGAAAGCACGCTGTTATCCAAATACCGCTAGTAACAAACAGGAGGCCTCTACATCTTCTTTCAGTCCAATTATTCAGCAACTGTTGTGAACAATCTGACTAAAATGTCTCTTTCAATATCTTATACAGTAGCTCAAGGCAGTGTACCTGTGACCACAGCGAGGCCTTTGATGATGTACTGAAGTACGTCGGTAAGCTTCGGGAAAGCCACAGCCAACTTGAAGAACACTTTAAAAACTTAAATGCGAGTTATCAACGAGACTACTCTTTGCTCTTTGAGGACCTTAAAGATTTACAGAACAGGTACTATATTACTCTATACAGCTGTGCAGGCTGAAACCATCTGCTGTTTTTATGTAGTGTTGTGTTTTGCAGAAGGGAATCTCTAGAAGAGCGATTCATTGACTTGACAGAACAGTATCAGAATGACGTTTGGAACTTGAAAAAAGAGTTAGCCGCCACAGCGGAGAAGAGTGCTGATCGGTCTTCTGATGCAACACAAGATTTTTATGTAAGTTTCAAATAAGGTTTTCCCATGACAAGAGAAGTTGTTCCAGTATGTAACTGGTGTGTTGATTCTTTCTTTCTGTACAAAATTAAAAAATTAAAAAAAAAATAAAAATCCAGATTTACTCTTTACTATTCTACCTCAGAAAAAACTCCAAAAACAGATTCTGACAGGGCTAAAAAGATGCAAGGCCCTTTTTAACCACTATAAGGGCCTGGCATCTTTTTAGCGCTGGCTTTGTAACTGTACTTCTCCTTGGGCATTAGAAAACTTCAATTTTGTCTCTGGCCTGCAGGAGGTGCTGGAGGCTTGTGAGAGACGCCAGTTCAAGCTGGAGCAGCAGCAGCAGAAAGAAGAGGATGCAGGGCATCCAGAGACATGGGCCAATACCACTGCACAGACAGTACTTGAAAAACTAATCGATGTATCGCTAGCCTTTATAACCGTGCTTTTGGTGCTGATGTCCACAGTGAGCAGCTGGGTGGCCCCATTTTTCAAGACAGCCCTTCTAATGCTTTGCACGCTGCTTTTTCTGGTCCTTTTGTCTTTCCTGTGGAGGCACTGGGATGTTATTTTAGATTATCATCATTTACCCTTCTGCAATTAACATCTTGGAGAAACATAAAATGAATGCAGACACCACTCAGTCATCTTTATTACTGCAGTGTATGGAAACTTAAATCTAGTGTGTGTGTCTTACTACAGAAAGCAATAGCCCATACAGTGAAGTCTGAGTTACACAGGAATGAATCCTTTGATTACAGGACATGAATCTACAGCCGAGGATGGTCAACATATTCAGGGAAATGCACCGATTAATAGAAACAGTGACTCAGTTTGGTGAAGAGCCCACTAGGTCAGCTTTGTTACACAATTGTCTGCTGAGACTTGTGCAAATATGGTTCACTCTCAGAAAAGCTGCCACCTGAACTTTAAGTTCAGAATGTTTGCAGATGAACAACTTTTTTTATTTTGAAACCAGGTTACACAGCATTATAGACTTGCCGTCATAAACTCACAATTGCAACAATCTGTCAGGTTTCTTTCTTTGTAGGACATGTTAGACCTTTAGTACAAATGCAGAAGGTCTGAAGTAAATTAGGCGCCAGATTCAATACATTTGCAATGCTTGGGGTTAGTTATTGTATAGTCTAGTATTAAAGGTAATTAGAATATATTCAAATGCACTCGAGCTAAAAATTTAGATTTATTTGACAAACAATATAAAAACAGTCTAGAATTACAAGTTCAATCTTCAGACTTTGTCCCTCGTTTTCCGCTTGATTTAGAAGCCACTTTACTGTCCGCTTTGGCAACCTTGGCCTTTCCAGGCTTTGCCTCCTTCGTTTTCTTTGCTTTAGTCTTGGTCGAGTCAGCAGTTTCCTCACCATCCCCAGTCGGTTTAGCTCTTTTAGCCTTTGGCTTCTTCGCTGGAGCAACCTTTGATGTAGAAGCCTCTTCATCCTTCAACTTTTTGGGAGGCTTTGAGTCCTAAAAGGCAAGAGGGGAATTTAGGAGACAGCGGTAGATTGAATGACAGACAGAATTTAATGAACACTGGAGAGAACGTAAACTACTTTACCAGACAAATAAGAGATCCTATGAAAACTGACACGTTCAGGACACTTTACCAAGCCATTAACCCCTGAATTGTAACGCAATTGCCAGAAAATTCACTTTAAAATGATGAATCTGACAAATTATCAAACTAACTCCAAATCAAGTCATATGTAAATAAAATGCATCAAATTTGCTACATCTGGCTTAAAATAAATGCTCAAGTCTATTGTGCAATTTGGGAATTTTTTCCAGGATTTTTCTCTAGTGAGGCCGTACAGATACCTGGTTTCCATTTCTGTTGAAATTTATAGTTATGCAAAAGTAACATTCTGACCATCTTCCAGAATATTTTGAGGGTCCTTCAAATCTTAAACATTTGCAACTTTAGAATATAGATGTAAACTACCATGAGCTTCATCTACATTCTTAAATACATGAAGAGTCAACTTCCCAACTTCTCATCTAAAGACAAACTTGCGCCCGCTCACCTCTTTGGACTTTGTTTGTCCATTTTCAGCGTCTTTTTTCTTTGCGGCACCTGTAAGAAATGACAGGTTGACACAGAGTAACAGCTTAAATTACTGCTGACTCGAGGTTTAACGGTCATTCATACCCGCTTTGCTGGGCTTCTTGGCTCCATCCTTGGCTGCTTTTGGAGACTTCTTCACACTGGGCTCTGCGTTTTCGGCTTTTGGTTTGGTCTTCGGTGCAAGCTTAATAAAGACGAAACCCGTAATTGACATTTGAACTCTTCGTTTGAACGCAGTTGCAGATGTAGCCTCTTACCCTAAATCTCCTCGTGGCCGTTGTCGCGCTGGAGTTTCCAGGCTTCACCAGCGTCCCATTTTCCACTCCCTTCTTTAGGTTTTTGCGAACTAAAGTCTTCAGCCTCGCCAAATCCACCGACGGGTATTTTTCAGTGATATACTTCAGTATCGCCTGGGATGAAACTCCTTTGCGCGAGTCCAACGCTTGAAGTGCTTCTTTCACCATGATCGCCGTGGATGGATGAGGCGCAGCATCTACGCAGAGTAAATTTACATATAATTTTTTAAAGTTCGTTCCATCTTAAAGATTTTCGCCTCTTGCGCACAGACCTGATTTCTTTTCCGGCTTCTCATCCATCGACGCTTCGCTTGTGGATGAATCGGACGGCTCAGTGGAGTGTGCTGGTGGCCTTTTGGGAGCCATTTCACTAAAATCTAAAGTTAAAAACAGGACACAATAAAGGCAGACAAGCTAAAGTCTTAAAATATGCGTACTCTCCTTTTATTTGGCAACTGTCTCTGTTTTTATGCAGTTGTTTCCGGTATAATGAGACCAGGTGAACCGCATCGCACCAGGTGTGGTAAATTAGGATTTGAAAGCCACCGCGGATTCATCCAACTTAATGTGTTATCACTGAATCCTGTCGCCTCATCCGGTGTCAAAACACCCAAGCAGTGCTTCAAATGCACAGATAGCAAGACGACATTAAAACAATGCTGACTTTTTATTTGAATCGTCGACTGAAATCTCAGACCTAAATAAATGTCGGATCAATGTTAAATGCTGATGAAACTTGACGGTGTGACGACAGTGACGTATGCACTTTATCACATACATATCTTTGCTGATTGTATTTGGCACTTTATGCAACCTTTTGCACCTCTTGATGATATTTGTAATAGTAAAATAAACTGTTTTAGGTGGTTAAATGTTATGCTCAAAATTAGCTTTTGAGATGTGAATTTAATGATTTTTAATTTTAAACAAGTTTTGGACAGATTTCTAAAATTTCACGTGCTTTATTCACATTGTGTTTTTGTATTTTCTTTTGTAGTTGGTGCAAATGCATTACACAGAGAATTTTCCTTTAGCTATATGCAGTTCAGAGCTACAGTCTAGGCTGGATGGAGGCAGGACATCACAGAGGTAGGAGTAAATTCCCCAGACATAATTTCAAGCTAAATAAAATATTCTAAAAAGTATTTAATGCGAGTTAAATGAATAATAAGAAGTTTAATAAGGATAAATATATTTCAGCATCATTACACAATTTATCCTGGGTGTAGATACAGAAGTACAATACTCTAAAGTATTGAGTATTGTTAGTAATTTGCCTTTTAATATGAGTTGAAATGCCACAAAAGTGATTAAAAAACAATGTCAGAATTCAGCATTAAATAAATGAAATGTTTTTCTTTATCTAACTATGCCAAAATTAAAAGATGCCAGGTTATAACAAAACTGATCATTTATATCTGTAGTCTCAGGCCAGGTCACATAAAACATTAAAATGAACACACCTGGTTTGCAATCAGCCAGTGCTCCCTATTTTTGTTGCTGTTTAGCTTTATTACTGAAGTTCTCCGGTCATGTTGTTAATATTATCTCAATATTATCCGAGGGTACAAAACTGATTAAGAAACAATATCAATGCTCAATGCAGAATTTATCAAATTTAGACTGATAGCACAATGTTGAACAACTATTGTTTGCTATCTCAGTGTGCACACTTGTGTCTGTGTCAAAAGCAGATGCATGTCACACATTGTAGACGTGCGAAAATGATCTCTACTTGCTTCTGTGTTCTCATAGATAATATTACCTCCTAGAGAAAAAGGGCAGGAACTAAATTTGTACTGACAACTCATCACTGAAACTTTGTATCTAATTTACATATGAAGCAAAATCTAATTTTGATTGCTCAGTGACTACAGAGGCAGACTTGTGATGAGTGTAAAAATGTTTGCGTAGGTGAGGATGAGTTTATGCTTGAGTTCAGCCTTGGGTCCAGAAATGCCTACAAACAAAAAATGGCTTTGATATGTTTATATTGAGGACTTCAGAAACTCAGCAGCGGCTCCTCCGAAAATACAATGGAGTGGTGACATGATGGGTTTTCCAGTCAGAGTATGTTTTATGAATTTTCCTCTGGGGCCACAAAGGACACTGGGACTCTTGTGGTAAGCTTATAATGGGATAAAATTAGTATTAAACAGAACTGAGTCCAGCTTATTGATGCAGCCCTTCACAACAGTCCCAATTTCTCATGTGGTCCCTTGGGAAAATTAATTAATGACTCGTGCATTTAATATTAGTTCTCCATCCATTTATGAATTTGCATGCAGCATGCACCATTACATTATGCGACTTTATTTCTACAGGGTGGGCCATTTATATGGATACACCGTAATAAAATGGGAATGGTTGGTGATATTAAAGTCCTGCTTGTGGCACATTAGTATATGTGAGGGGGCAAACTCCTCAGCATGGGTGGTGACCATGGTGGCCATTTAGAAGTCGGCCATCTTGGATACAACTTTTGTTTTTTCAGTAGGAAGAGGGCCATGTGACACATCAAACTTATTGGTACTGTCACAAGAAAAACAATGGTGTGCTTGGTTTCAACGTAACTTTATTCTTTCATGAGTTATTTACAAGTTTCTCTTTGTTCACAGCCATTGACATGTCGAAGAGGTTAACACGTGAGGAGCGGATTGAAATTGTGTTGCTATCTGGTGAACGCAGTAGGTCATTGCAGCAGATTTCAATGCAAGACACCCTACGAGACCATGCTACAGTTAGCAAACTGCTTGCTAAGTTTCGTGAAACTGGTTCAGTGCTGGATTTGCCAAAATGTGGACACAAGAAAACTGTCACTAATGAAGAAACATCAGTGGCTGTCCTAGCTTCATTCAGCAAGAGCCCACAGCGTAGCCGCATGTCACTGGAGAGTGGCATTAGTCGAACATCCCTTCGGCGGATATTAGCTACTCACAAATGGCACCCTTACAAACTGCAGCTACTGCAGCATCTCAGCGAGGATGACCCAGATCGGCGCACAGAATTTGCAGAATGGGCAAAACAAAAATTGGAACAGGACCCTCAGTTCACGCAGAAGATTTTGTTCAGTGATGAACCAAACCTTTATGTGAATGGTGAAGTTAACAAACAAAACCACCATTATTGATCTGACACTAACCCACATTGGATGGATCCCTCCAAGACTGTTGGAACAACAAAAGTGATGGTTTGGTGTGATATATGGGGTACAACGATAGTGGGTCCATTCTTCATCAATGGAAACCTCAAGGCCACTGGATATTTGAAATTGCTACATGATGATGTGTTTCAATCTTTATGCACTGAAGCTGGCACGTTCCCTGAGTTTTTCCAGCAAGATGGTGCACCACCACATTATGGGTGCCAGGTCCGAGCATTCCTAGATGAACAGTTTCCTGGAAAGTGGATTGGTCGTCGTGGGCCAGTTGAATGGCCCCCAAGGTCTCCCGATCGGATCCCCTTAGACTTTTATCTTTGGGGTGAAGGCAATTGTCTATGGAGTGAAGAGACGAGATGTGCAGCACCTGAAACTACGGATACTGGATGCCTGTGCTGGCATTTCTCCTGCGGTGTTGCTATCAAGTGTGTGAAGAGTGGGAGAAGAGGGTTGCATTGACAATCCAACACAATGGGCAGCACATTGAACACATTTTATAAGTGGTCAGAAACTTGTAAATAACTCATGAAAGAATAAAGTTACGTTGAAACCAAGCACACCATTGTTTTTCTTGTGACATTACCAATAAGTTTGATGTGTCACATGGCCCTCTTCCTATTGAAAAAACAAAAGTTGTATCCAAGATGGCTGACTTCTAAATGGCCACCATAGTCACCACCCATGTTGAGGAGTTTGCCCCCTCACATATACTAATGTGCCACAAGCAGAACTTTAATATCACCAACCATTCCCATTTTATTACAGTGTATCCATATAAATCGCCCACCCTGTATTTTGTCTATTTCATAGAGAAACAACAACTCCAGTAACCCTAAAAGATACAATGTAGTGGGCTCCATTTTGCATCTTTTCTCCTCCACCTTCTTATGAATATAGTCTCCATGCATTTATGTGTCTACAGACATACAACAAAAGAAAAACAAATAACATATCAAGCAGACATTACTTAAAAAAGAGGCTGATGATTTGCAATGAGCCATTGATTGAGATGTCGTAAATGTTGGATATGTAGAGCGCTCTATTATTGTTTCTGGGTTGCAAGTTGGTTAAAAAAATCATGTCGATCATGGTCTGTAGTCATGATTGTAACATTATTTCAGTATTATCCGAGAGTGCAGATGTAATTAAATTTAGACTGATAGTGCAATGTTGAACATCTTTATGCATACTCAATCATTTAAGTAAGAAAATCGCCAAATGTTGATTCTGTTCATCTGGATGTAGTGTTTTCAGTGAATGCAGCACTTTCTAAATGTATTGTTCTCCCTCTGAAAAAGCTGAGTCCCACTTTTGAGAATGTTGAACATCGTTTCAACTGTTGTTTAGTGCGCACATTTGTCTGTATCAAAAGCAGATGTATATGATGTGTTGTAGAGGTGTTAAAAATCTCTATTTCAGTAAAAACCATCATAGTGACTTCAGTGTTGTCATAAATACATTTATTTAATAGAGCTAAAGGGCAGGAACTAAATTTGATTTGACCTCTCATCACTGAAACTTTGAATGTATCTACATATGAAGCAAGAAAACATTTAAACTGCTCAGTAAAGAGGCAGACTATCAGGTAACAGGTTTATCAGGTAACAGCAGATACAAAAGCTAAAATGTGCGCTTTACTGTCTTATGAACTAACTTGTGAATACTTCATGTGTTGCAATGCTTTGAAAATAAATGCAAGTGATGCATGTGTGCAGATAGTGAGGCCTTTAACCCACACAAATTCAAAGTAAATGATGCTCAAATGTGTTCTTCTCATTAGCTTCTTTTCACCCCTCTGCTGTGGTTCTTTGTTTCTCAGTAAAACACGTACGGGTACTTTCGAAAGCTACATCGTTGTGGCCTTTGGGTGTTGTTCAGGGCTGTTGCTTCTTGTCTTTTTAGTTTGAACAAGTGCTGCAAAATGACAATCACTCTGTTCAATTTGGCTGTTGCAGTATTCAGCTTCATCATGACTGGACACCTGCTGTTTGCCATCCTCATGAGTAAGTCAAATCTCTGTAGATTTCAACATAAATTAACTCAGGGTCATCTTCGCAAATTACCTACATTTTTCATGGCTGGTGATTCTATGCAGGTTAGTTTATTGAGAAACTATTGTTCTTGTTGGATTAAATTAAATCTGCGTTTATACAGACTC